GCATTGAAAATGCAGAGGGACAATTCGACAAACTCGATGAGGTATTTGAGAGAAAGAAGAACATCACAACTTCACTCAACACAATCGTCACTGATTTGGATAACACATCTAACAAAATCAAAAGCGAGATGGCGTACTCAACAGAGAGTGACAACAACAAGTTGTATGAGATTAACAATTTCAGAATTTTACTTCTTGAAGAAAAGTGCCAAATGGACACAAAACCACTCGAAGACCAAATAGACAGAATCAAACAAATATACAACACTAAAATTGATCAAATTATTAAATCAGAAAAATTCATCAATGCGAAGAAACAACACGAAGAAAAAGAAGAAGCTGGGAGAATGAAGTTACAAAAAGAAAAAGAAGCCGAGAGAATGCAGCGCGAACACATCACACTTGAAGAAAAAGCCAATCTTGAAAATTTGACGGGGTACAAAATAGGAAGTGTTGTGTTTAATTCGGATAAAGACAATTGGTCAAAAAACAATTCAGTGTTTGATGCAAAAATCATTAACAAAAGCAACTTGTGTTTTTTGGTAGAAGACACAAATCACAACAAGTTTGGTGGCGTGTACACTGGAAATATCAATAATGTTAACAAATGTATCAACAGTGGCAGTTCTTACATCTTTTCACTTGTGAGAAATGGCACTTTGAATCCAAAAAAGTTTGGTAAAGGTGGAAATAACACCGGTTATGAATTTTGGATTGGTCCTCAAGACTATCTCGGTCTCTTTGCATTTGGTGGTGGTTGTGATATATATGTATACAAGAAAGGTTTAAATGGGAGTTATTGCGACCCATCCACTTACACCGCCAAAGACAACGATTTGACTGATAATCGCAATTTTACACCAAAGAGTGTTGTTGTCTACCAACTTAACTAACTTTTGTCATTTTTTATTTCAAACTTTGCAAGGCATTGACTCCAAAATTGTCCCTTTTGTAATTTGCCACGTCACCACAACTTGAATTAATGTACACAGTTTTAACAAAATCTGTCCTTTTTGAAGGGTCGGACAGACGAAAAGAAAACGGTTTTCACCCTTCAAATCTAACACTGGAACGAACACTCGATTAGGATATCTTGATGTTTTTTTTCAGGCATCTCCTCTTTGTGTCAAGTATCTTCCGGAGATGGATTCACGACGCCGCAACTCGCCGGGTTCAACAAGTTTCGACAGTTGCGGCATATCTACTCTCTGTGTCCCTTTGTATCTTTCTGAAGTATGTTAATTGAAAAGTAGTTTGGTATTTTTATTTATTATGGGTTTATTCAAACTACAAACTATAGTAATTAACCATTAAAATCATATTAAAGTTGATATTTTCATCTAAAAACAAATAGCACATATGTTGATATAATTAATTATAATTTAATAATTTGGTAACACAATTTATTTTTTTGAAGCAAAAAACTCAGAAAAGATCAATAGACTTTATCACATGATTAGAATATTACAATTGACAGTATATAGTAAATTGACTATTTTAAATAAATAAAAACATCAGTGATGTTGTGAAATGAATCGCTACTTTTTAATGTATTTTTGCGTTCTACAGATAAAGTTAATATGATTAAATCAATTTGTATCAATTTTGTATCGAAACTCTATTTTCTTATTAAAAAAAACATCACAATCTTTTTTGTCATTGGAAATATCCATCACTCAATGAAAATTATTTGAAAAGGCATCTTTCAAAGACTCGAGGCATCTAGTTGAAATTAAACTATAAAAAAATAATAATAATAGTATATTTTTTGATAAATAGACTTTTGTATTTAAATAGATTTTAATTTAAAAAAACTATAAAACAATATAATAATTATTTATCCTTGTCTTTTTGTGTTTTACTTGAATCAACCTGTTCTTAGTCTTCAAAAGTAATTGCACTCACCCGATTAACTTCAAGTTGTTTGTTGTTCAGATATTCACCAAATTTTCTGATATGTCTTCCAACTCGGCAGTTCTCAATTCGCCATCTCTGACTGATTGTTGAGTCTTCTTCAAATCGGATTGTGTCTTACCAATTTGAGTGTTGAAAGTAGACTCCTTCTGTTCGAATTCTGCAAGCTTTCTCTCAGCCTCTTCAACCTTTCTAGCATACTGTTTAGCTTGTTTCTTAGCTTTAGCAGCCGTGTTTTGTGCTTCTTCTTTTTCTGTTTCGATTCCTTCCAATTCTGTTTCTTATTTTGCTTTCAATTTAGCAATGGAAGCTCCAGTAGCACCAGCATCCGCCAATTTAGCTTCTGAATCGGTGACTTTAGCTCCGAGTCTTTGAGTTTCTTTGTCGGCTTCTTGTTTCATTGCTCTCTCCTTCTCAAGTTCCTTCTGTGAATCAGTTTTTCGAACAGCATCTGCACTGTCAGCCTTCTGTCTTTATTCATCTAGTTGAGTTTGGATTTCAGCAATTCTTGCATTTAGCATGTTCTTTTCTTCTTCTTGAGCAACAGAAGCCGGTGCACTGACTTAAACTTTAAGTGATGAAACTTGTGGATTGAGTGCTTTAACTTGGTCTTCCATCTTTTTTCTTCTATCAGATTGGTCCGCTGCAGTCTTCTCGGCCTCCGCTTTGTCGTCCAATGCCATCTTCTTTTGTGCTTCAAGTGCCTTAATCTGTGATTCATAATTCTCAATCTTCGAAGCGTCTTCGACAGACGACTTCTTCATTTCCTTCTTAGCAGCATCAAGTTGTGTGTTCTGATCTTTCAACACAGCAACCGCCTTCTCCAAATCAGCAATATCGTCTTCCTTCTCGTGCAATTGTGTCTCAAGATCCTTTAAATTGTCTTCTTCGGCTTCAAGCTTTTTCTTCAAGTCAGAAATTTCGCCTTCCTTATCTTCAATGTCTTTGTTCAACACAGTGATGACACTGTCCTTCTTAGCAACAGTCGCTTTGTGTTCAGTAATTTTATCTTGAAGTCCTTGATTATCAACTTCAAGTTACTTGTACTCAGTGGTTAACTTGCCCAAGTCTTCCTTTCCTCTCTTAACATCACCTTGGAGTTCTTCAATGTGTTCTTGGTCTTCTTGTGACTTCATATCTGCCTCATCAAGTGCTATCTTCTTCGACTCAATGTCTTCTTTAAGCTTTTGGACTAAAGTTTCCAAGTCGACGTTCTTGATTTTCATCTCAGCAAATGCCTTCTCAGCGGCTTCTCTCTTTGCGATTTCTACAGCAAGCTTCTTCTTTAAAAGCTTCAATTTCTTTGTCCTTAGCTGCGGTTCCTCATCGACTCTTCTTCTCTTAAGAATTGATCTAACCTTTTGAACAATCTGAACCAATTTCTGAATTGGTACCAAATGTGGATGGTGTCTTGAATGACATTAATAGCAATCTGTTCAATGAGTTTTCTTTGTGAAATTGCTTTTGCACACATATGAAGACCACCAACAAGTTCAGTGTCTCTGTTTTCTCTAATCTCTTCGATTTCAGCAAGAACACCAACCTTAGAGAAAATCTTGATCTTACCAAATCTAAATTCTTCAGTGTTCACTTTTGCCTTGCCATCCTTCTTGTACTTCTCACAAATTTGTTTCATGAGATCTTTGACTACTAGCATGACGTCTGAAATCTTCTTGTTGATGTTAGTTTCAAGGAAGAAGTATCTCTTCAAGAATTCGTTGTAGATGATTCTGTTTGGATACCCAAGACGAGTAATTCTAATACCTTCCAAGACACCATTGCATCTCAATTGCTTCAAAACAGTCGAGTCAATGAAGTAGCGTCTTGTCTTCTGTGTATTTAAAAAACGCAGATAATATAGTGTGGTGTAGTCATTCTCAATTTCTTCATAAGATCATCAAGTTGTTTTCTGTGGTTAGATCCTACAGTCAAGAACTTGGCACCTCTCTTACCCTTGTTGGGTCCACCAGCCGAAACTCCGAAGTCATCACCACCGGCAATATGCAAACTGAACAATTCTGAAATGAACTTCCTTTGAGAAACCAAGAAAGTCTCTTTTATATGTGGTTTCAACGGATTTTTGTTCTTTCAAATTCTGTCAATATCATCATATCTGAGTTTTATATAAATTTTTCAATTTTACTTATTTACTAATTTATTTTATTTTGACAAACTCGAATTATTTCATTTTTTACTGAATTACAAAAAAGATGAAAAAAATAATTATGAGATCACAATGTTTTTTTTGTTTGATGTAATCTCTTTTCTGAATATTCAAGGAATGACGTATCCTTGTTTTTCAATAATAAACTGTTTTTCAAAACTCTGTACTGGGATGACCCAATTTATTGGACAAATAATTCCTAAATTATTTTTTCTTTGCTTAACCCTCATTTTTTGTTCAAAATATTTACTCGTAAAAAACAAAATAACAAACTTGATTTTTTTTTAAAATTTACTTGACAAATAAATCTTGCACCAAAAATTTACTTGAAAAATATAAAAAACAAACTTGGGATTAAAATTTTGATTACCATAACACAATTTTTGCCTAAAAAAGAAAACACAATTTTTTAATTAAATGTCCATGTTTACAGAATCACCAAGTCGTGTTTTGGATAAAAATGAAAAGTACTAATGAGTAAAACAAGCATTGAGAGAAGATAAATAGGTTAACACTATACAATTGAAAAAGTTTTATTTTTTATTTTTTAACTGTTTATTTCATTTAATACTGTAGTAATTAGCGAACTTGTTTGTTTTTCAATGTTTGTTGTTTTATGTATTCGATGGCTATTATTTAATTGTTAAAATAAATAGAAAATGATTATTAGTAAAAGTATTATATCATTCAACGCAATTGTGTCGTCCATCACATCGTTTGTTTATTGTTTTATTGTCGTTTATTTTGTGTTTATCTGAAAGATAGAATTTTACTCACGTTTAGTTACAAAACGAACCACTAACCAAAAAAACGAACCTGGAAAATCGGGAAAGATTTGCCTAAATTTTGGGTGCTTTCCCGATTTTTTGTTCAATAATTGAAATTGTATTGATTTTTAAGGGTTTAAAACTGTGTACCGTTGTTGTTTCAACGAAAAGGAAAATAAAAAATAAAACAGATAAAAAATAGTAAATAATGGGAAATTAGGACAAAGGGTTTTTATAAATTTTGGAAACGGTACAGAGTTTTGGAATACAGTTTAAATATTCAAATTGAAAAGTTATATAAATCATTTTTACATTCTGATACAGTAAAAAGCATCTATTTGTGGGTCAATGGACCAATCAAATGCAAAACCCACAAATAATTATTTTGCTCTGGAACTTGAATTTAGGTACACTTAAATAAAAATTATAGTATTTTTATAATTAAAATACTTAAATATCATTAATATCTTACATTTTTTATGTATAAAATAGTGAAAAGAATTTACTACACAATTCCATGATAAACCATAGTCCGGCAAATAGAATTTCATTTTATTTTTTACATAGAAAGTCCATAACTTGCGGCAAATTAAACGAAAAAAATACCAATATTTTGTTTTTTGTTTTGTTAGTTACTCAAAATGAAATTCAGAAAAATCTTTAAAAACTATTTTGGGGTTTTAATAAAATACTTGTGTTAATTTTAACATTATTTTTAAAAATTAATAATTTACTATATATTTACAATTAAAAATTACTATATATTAACATGAAAAAACAAAACTCATATGAAATAAAAACATCCATATAAACAAAATTAATTTTAATTTTTTTGTTTAAATTAATGGTATTTATTATTATTATAAATATTAACTGATATAATAGTTAATAGTTAATAGTTAATAGTTAATAGTTAATAGTTAATAGTTAATAGTTAATAGTTAATAGTTAATAGTTAATAGTTAATAGTTAATAGTTAATAGTTAATAGTTAATAGTTAATAGTTAATAGTTAATAGTTACAGTAAAAAGGGTCTATTTGTCGAGATCTTAGCACAAAAAATAATTTATTTGTCGGATTTGAAAGAATTTTTCAGAAAGTTCGTTTTAATATTGATTTTTATTTTTAAGTAAAAATTTGGTTTAAATTCAACAAAAGGTACAAATTCGAGAACAAATAATTTAATTGTCGTAAACCCAAATGATTGGCCAGTTGTGCGATAAATCGACTCGTTCGACAAATAAGATTGCGACAAATAGACCCTTTTCACTGTAATTGTAAATAATAATAGTAATAATTTTAATTATAAAAATATATAAATAACAATTAATAGTAATGTAATATGTTTGTTATAAACAAAGTAAATTTTGTTTGTTTTATTTTTTAGAATGTTATATTTTCGAATAAATAATTAATTATTTAATTATTCGAAGTCAAATAAAACGAAAGGACGGACATGGGGACAAAGGACGGGAATATAGGCCGAAGGACTTCCTTTGTGATTTAGGGACGTCCTCCTTTGTATAAAGACGTCCTTTCTATTATTTTTGTTTCTGCCGCGTTTCTAAAACTATATATAGAGTTATAATATTACTATGAATTTACTAATATAAAATATAATTATTTCCAAAAATAAATTTAATCAAAGACAAATTTTAAACAACAAGTAATTTCGTTATAAATTAATGATTTTAAAAATTAATTAAAATTTGACATTCACAAAAAAAGTCAACACATTAATATATATAATACCCGAGTTGTTATATGATGAGAAATACTTGATATTAGTGGTATTTATCCACTTGTAATAACTGTTTTATTTTTGAAATGTTTACATAAAAATGAAATTAAAAAACATAAAATATGATTTTAAAAGATACAAATCAATATATCATGAAAAGCGACCAAATGAAAAGTTTTGGAGTGATAAAAAATAATATTCACGTCGAAAAACATAAGTACAAAAACGTAAAAAAAATAATAACAAATAATAAAAATATTGATTTCATACATAAGATGTTAATTATAAAAATAATATATATAAATTAATATGTTATTAAAATTAAATATTCATAGTTTTTAAAATAATTTTTTAAATATAAAAGTTTGTAGTGATAATTAAATAAATAAAGATTTGAAAAAAATACCTAAACATATCTTAGCTAAACAAATGAATAACATTGTACGTATGAGGAATTATCAGGTTGACAAAAATGAAATACAAGGCAAATAATAAAAAATGATAGTTTAATGAAGTTATTATATTATTATATTAATTGTTCACACGTTTTTGACAATACAAATTTCAATCTTAATAAATAATGATTTTAACATAATAATTTATATTAATTATAAATAAATATTGTAAAATGAACTTTAACGTGTGATCAATTTTTTACCAATTGTTTTTCAAATATAAAAAATGAAAATAAATAATAGTATTAAACAAAATTATAATAATAACTATAAAAAACAAAATGGATGGTGATAAAGTTGTTAAAAAGGTTGTAGTTTTGGTTGGCGACACAAATACTAGTAAAACAGTGACACTCTCGAAAATTCAAGGTGATATCAACCCAAACACGATTCATACCATTGGTATAGCATTTGCAGTTTGTTTAACATTTTCGTAAATAAGTTAATTAAGCGTGAGACAAAATACTTCTACTTAGACAGAATGTTTATAAAATCGCAATTTTGGGATACAGGTTTGTCTTCTAAAATTTACATTAAATTTATATACTTTATATAAATGTTAATTTATAATATATCATACAATATTATATTACAAAACATTGGTTATTGGATTTAATTCAATTTTAATTTATTGTATCAATCAATATAATATAATTATAATTATATTATAGTATCAAAAATTATTTTATAATATTACATATTAATTTGTTGTTTTTATAAATAATGATTTTAAAAATTAAGACAATTTATAATAATAATATTATAATTGTAATTATGTATCAATTGTATAATTCATCATTTTTTGCAAATCATTTAATATTAAATAAAAAATGTTGTTTATTTCTAATTAATGAATTTTAACAACAATAAATATTTAACAAAATAGATGGATCTGAAAATAATCGACATTTTTTGCCAGCTTTATGTCGGTTTGTTAAACTGTAATAAATAATAAACAAAAATCAATGATTTTGTAGTAATAATGATTATACTGTTTTTATTGTAAATTATATTTTAATATATTTTTCTAAACGTTGATTTTCACTGAATTTTTTATAACAGTTTTATTTAAATAAATGTTAAATTTAATTGCATTTTTAATATTTCGATTATAATATGACTTATACATATATTATATTTATAATTTAAAATATTAGTAATTTCAATGATTTTTTTCCATTCAATAACATCATTAAAAAAATGTTATAATATAATTACTGAAATTTATATTATTTTTGATTTTTTAAGACATATACTTATTTATAAAGCAATAACAAAAAGAAATGCAAACGCAAACGCTATTATTTTCTTTTATTCTGTAAATAAAAAGGAGACATTTGAACTTCTTGAGCATCTTGTAAATGAAATCAAATTGAATATTCATGATAAAGATAACGTTAATATCGTGAAATTCATTATTTGTGGTACACGAAACGATCTTATAAGTCAAAGAGTTGTTTCGAAAATCAAAGCAGTAAATTTTGCAAAACAAAATGGATGTGTCTATGTTGAAATAGGAGAACAAGTCAA